CTCGATGACCTCTCGAGGTCCCTTCCAGTCCTAGAATCTATGAATCTATGTCCATAACATTTTTAACTTGTTTTTCTGTGCTAATGTACAAAATGGCACTGTAGTATAGAAAAGAATAGTTAAGTCTTACATAAGTCAAATGCAATTGTTCCTTTCACTTCTTTAACTGATTAGCTTATTTTAATATGCGCTAAAATGTGTTCATTTTTAATAGTGGACAAAGTAATGAGCACTCCTGTATTTCAGGCATACCATTCTTTGCAAATCCCTCAGTGCCAATGAATCTGGAGCTCTGGCTCTCAGTGGAAGTAGAAAAGATTGATTCAGACTGAGAAAAATCGTATATTAAAATCACTGAAATGAATTATAAACTTGTTGAAAATTACATTTTCAGAAAGATCTCTTTTCTCTTTATACTGTTTTAAAAATACTTATTCATCCTTTTCCTTAAGTAGAAACAGAGCAAGTCACTTAACTTCTCTGTTTCTGTTTCCCCATCTGTAAAAGGGGCTAATAACACTTATACCTTATTAGTTGTATTTGAAAATGTTTTGAAGGTGAGAACTGCTATGAAACTGCAAAGCATTATTAATATGACCACGTTCTGTATTTTTGTATTTCCATGCTACTGTGACTGCTCACATAAAGACTTCTCTTTTTTCTTTAATCAGCAAAGTAGGTAGTCACATAAAAATGATATAAATAGTGAAATTTCAATGTAGTGTCGTCTTTTACAAATTCAATTAAGATGCAAAGAGACTGTACGTGGCAGAAAAGGGTTATTTTTTCCCTTTGATTCAGCTTTCTTTCCCATTCCCTCTTGAGCTCTTTCGGAAAGAAAATAGAAAGGTCTCAAGTTCAGAGGAAGGAGCGTCAGTAATTGTAAATACTGCTTAGATAAGCCAAAGAGCCCATATTCTGCCCTTGTTTGCAAAAAAATAATGAGTAGTGCTGTAATGAACTGGATGCTGAGGAGGTTTACACTTTCCAAAAGAGGATTCCCCACACAAATCCCTTTGGTGCACAGAATTTTGTGTGTACCATTTGCACAGCACTTTGCAACTACCACTCTTAGCTGTACCTTATTGAACAGAAGTCTCACGAGGAAGAGGAAGGGAAGAGAGCGTCTCCTTGCTATTAATAGCCCGATCAAAGATTTAAAAGTCAGGAAAAATGTCAAGGGCAGACAACCGGATCAACATCGCAATCCGTTTATTTATTTATTTCTCTAGTTCCTAAATATTTATTAATAGCATTTGAAGTTCCCAAATAGCTTTCAGCATAAAGTGACACTGGTGGAATGAGATGCGTAGCTTTCAAGGTTATGATTACAGATCGTGTCAGGTGGAGAGCCCATCTCGGTAGCTACAGTAATTGGGGCCCAAGATTAACGCACAAGCTAGCATGCTATACCATGCTAGGAGTTGGTAATAGGGATGGCTGTATGATTGATTGGGCTTCAAGAAATGAAACTACCTGGAACCTATTCAGAAACATGTGACCTTTTCATCTCTTCTTCTCTCCTGGAGAAAGGGGAATCTGGCCTTGTGTGGTGTACAGAGAAAAGCTACTTTAGGGGGCCTCAAAAGCACCAAGCAATCCCAACTACCAGATTCTGATCTGCTTCCTTACAATAATTTCAGTGGTGGTATTCATGGAGTAAGATACTACCTAAACTAGAGGTTTCCTTAGGATAACACCCACTGAGGTGAATAGGATAAGTTGACACATCAGAGAGCTATTGTTTCGGGTTGCCTGCAGACTCAGGAAAATAACAGTGTATTGGTTTATGTACAGTTTACATTTTGATCTTTTTGCAGCCATATAGGTAACAAACATAATTTGTAATAGATGAAAGCTTGGCTTCTGGGCACAATTCTACAGTGGTGACGGGATTCTGTAGCCACTTCCATGGCTATGAAATTGCAGAGAAAATCAGGGCCCTGTTTATTTTACTGACACGCAGCACCAATATGCATGCTACTTAAGGTAGTGCACTGAAGATAAACCAGTCAGGATTTGTTACTTCTTGAGCAAAATGAGAAATTATAAACTGGCATCTCAAGATAAGGATCGGGTTAATATGAGGGACAATGTTACTTTCATGCAATGCTAATGTATACAAGACCTAGGAGAAGAGAAATGGTATTTAAAGTGAACACAGAAATTACCCATTTAGACACTAGGATGCTGTTCTTCATCAGAAATATTCTTTTCACCTATGAAAGCTTGTAAGGACTTATTATATACTTTGGATTGATTTTCAGTGCTCTAACCAGATTGAGAAGATAACTGGTTTGGAGGACCTGAAAGTCCTCCAGAACTTGGACTTGTCCAGTAATAAAATCAGTAGCTTAGAAGGTTTGGAGGAACATGATCTACTAGAAGTGATCAACCTAGAAAATAATCAGGTAACATCCTGCATACTAATCTGAATTGTTTTTAGCTTTACTGTCTCTTTCTGAAATTCTGCTCTTCGAAGTTCAAATCAAAAATCCCATAACACTACAAGAAAGAAATGGCTTTCACTTTATAACCCATTCTTCCACCCTTACTTATGTTGAGTAGCACCTTACTCCCTGCTCTTGTTTAATTGCTTGGATTAATTTCTATTTATGTGGGTAACTCTTAGGGAGCATTTAGTGCTCATGATTGTGAAGGACGGACACATTCCCTAGAGTGGATACCACAGGGATATCACATTGCAGGGAATGAATGGCTGCATAGGTGCTGACTCTGTGGGCGCTATGGGAATGGAGCACTCACAGAAAAAAATAGTGGCAGCTCAGCACCCACTGGCAGCCCAGATCAGCTCCGCCCCCCCACCCAGCACCTCCCGCCCACCATGATCAGCTGTTCAGCGGTGTGCAGGAGGCACTGTGGGGGAGGATTGGGGATGGGAAGAGGCGGGATGGGGGTAGGGCTTGGGGGAAGTGGTGGAGTGGGGGCAGGGCCTGGGGTGGAGTGGTGGTCCAGCACCCCGCAGGGAAATCACAAATTCGGCGCCTCTAAATGGCTGTGCTGCCTTCTTCCATCCAGCTGTGCCAGAGAACCTCTACTTATACCTTAGCTACTCCAGCCCCCAGCCCCAACAGATCTTGCCAATGTCCCTCAATCCTGCAACATGCAGGAGGTCAGACTGGATGATCACGATGATCCCTTCTTACCTTAAAATATGTGAGCTTCTCCCTGGGCCTCTGTCAGAGAATACCAGTCATGCATACCGTAAAATGGCTTTCGTTATACAGATAAATGGATCAGACCATCCAGCTCTTTTATATCTGTAATCTTAACAAGGATTTGAACTCTGGGTCCTATAGGCAACGGTTAACCCATTAACCCAGCAGATCAGAGACACTAAAGGTCTTTAATTTCAGAAAAGACCCTCAGTGGATGAAGTAATATATTTTATTGGACCATCTTCTGGTGAATTCAATAAATAATACTACCTAACCCACTTTGTCTCTCTAATATCCTGTGACCAACACAGCTACAACACTGCCTACCTCAATGGATAAGTCATTCTCCTATCAAAGCCAAGACTTTGTGGTTATGATCTTAACCCACCTGAAATTATGAATTTTAAAATGTAGGCAAATAAAAAGCAACAATAAAAACTGTAAATTGAAATATTCAGATTATTCTCCCAATTTTCAGGATACACCTACAAGTGTTAACATAACCATTGTGAATTCTCTTTATAGCATCATATTCAGGTCAACATTTAAAGACACGTCAGTGTTTAAAATCACACAAGGCAGGATGCTAACTATAGTATGGTCATCATTAGCATTAATAATGCAGCCTCCGTTGCCTCATGTAGTTTTCTTTGTTCTCTACAGCAGGCAGAAGTTATTAATTCGTTTATGTCAACATTTCGTTTATGTCCTCTTTTAATAAAATATTACTGAACTGTGCAATGAATTGCCACCTTTCCAATATCTCCTTCTCTAGAGAGACTTTAAGGGAATATTGTTAACATTGGTAAAATCTAAAATTTCATTTACCTGAAAATGTTGCATTAAACTATTCGGTGTTCAATCAATATCTTAGGTGGCTGATGTTTTATTTTTGACAATGGCATTAGAGTCAATGTATTTGATTAAAAATTCCAAACCATATGACCTACTACTGCAGAGCAGGGTTTCTCTGTTATCACAAATGATCACGCTGGATTTCATCTTCTCCCACTTTCAAGGGTTGGAAGAAAGGTCTGGAACCAGTTCTGACTCTGAATCAGTCCTCAAAGTGTTCATGGCTTCTTCCATCTGAATGGATCGCAGGCAGGACTCATGGTTCTTATGTCCCTGAACTTTAATCCCTAGACAAATGGAGCAGCATTGTGATCTATGGCCCTCATTTAGATATCTTAGACAGTAGTTACAGCTCTAAATTCTAAATAGAGAATTTAGAGCTGTAAGAGGGGTTTGCCTTGATCCCTATGATCTTTGCAGGTTCTGCCATATATAGAAAGTAAGAAAGATTTTATGGGAAAATTTCCCTCTAAAAACTATATTAGGGTGCAGAACCAAGAAACAATAAATTATCTATTTCCAGGGGGAAAACCCCTATCTAGGGGAATAAACAGTGTCCAACAAAATAAGAAGCAAGGAATTCGGACTTGCTGCTTTGGCCTTTGGAAGGAATTGTTGGTTTATGGGAGGCCATGTCCCATCATGTAGCGTCACTTGGAACTTTCTCAAGCACAGGTGCATTCCAGGAGCCTTCAGAAGTGTCTAGTATAACAATCACTGCTGGGATAGAGCAACAGTACTCTAGGCAGGTTTCTGATCAGTGGAGTCTTTTGAGTTTCCCTTTGCCATGAGGCCATGGAGACTGAGTGTTCCTCTCATCCCAGAGGTAGGTAGGACACATTGATGGGACAGTGTAGGGCAGTGGTTCCCAAACTTGTTCCGCCACATGTGCAGGGAAAGCCCCTGGCAGGCCGGGCCGGTTTGTTTACCTGCCACGTCCGCAGGTTCGGCCGATCGTGGCTCCTAGTGGCCGCGGTTCGCTGCTCCAGGCCAATGGGAGCTGCTGGAAGCGTCGCAGGCCAAGGGAGGTACTGGCCGCCACTTCCCACAGCCCCCATTGGCCTGGAGCAGTGAACTGCGGCCACTGGGAGCTGTGATCGGCCGAACCTGCGGACGTGGCAGGTAAACAAACCGGCCCGGCCTGCCAGGGGCTTTCCCTGCACATGTGGCGGAACAAGTTTGGGAACCACTGCCCTACACTGTCCCATCAATGTGTCCAGTATGTCTGTTTTAAAGACAAGTATCTCGTTAACTGCTCTGTAATCAGTAATGGCACCTGTGTTATCATCTCACCATAGTGGGACATTTTTCCTTTAAGTACTATTCTGTAGGAATTCTTCATCCATAGTATCAAAAGAATAGGTCTGGAAAATATAATGCAAAAGGTACACCAATTACTACCTTTCAGTAGATGCTTAATATTCCTGCATAAAAAGAGAAATCAGAATCCTATTATATAAAATAGGAGGATTTTTTAATGTAGCCACAATCAAAACATAGTGACATTGTTACTGCAGCAACATGGACACTGGAGTAAAGTGTGCCTGTAGCACAAGCAGCTATGTGTGCTCCAGAGATGATGCATTTCCAGGTGAACTGACTCACGTACTTATTTTTCTTCAGGAAGATCAAGAAGCTTTTAGCATCTCAAGAGGGAATCATTAAGGGGTTGCAGAAACTAAGAAGAGGCCAGGTGGGGCAGGAGGTCCTGTTATCAGGAGTTGTCTGACAGTTGGCTGAACACTGAGTAAACGCTATCCAGCACAATTTCAGCAGTAAAGCCTGGTGTACAAAGCTGCGTCATGCAACTTGTTTTTAATTGGTTAATTTTGAGAGTCCTTGTTCCCCAAAATTCAATTTCAGAAAAGCTTGAACTGAATGAAAGCTTCAAATGTCTGAAGCATACTGGCGGAGGTAGGCCCACGCCATTCCCAGAAGCACCAGAATGTCCAGTATTCCAGGAAGTGCGAGTGGCCACCCTAAGTACAGATCACACAAACAATAAAATACTCTAGACACAATGTCCCTCACTAGCTCCTCCTTCGCTTGAGAATCCTTGGAGGATCATCTGTGTTCTCTCAGGCGGGCAGGGTCCTCTGCCCCCTTGCTTATCCTGCCCCTGCAGCTGCCTCCCTCATCTTAATCTGGTACAAAATGGCGTTCAGGCCCAGTTTGTTCATTCCCCCCCGGTGAATCCCTTTATAGACTCCTGCTAGGGTCACTTGCTTCTTTTGTTCTGCCTTTTGGTAATTTCTCACTGCTCTCAACCTCCCCCATCTTCAGACAAACGGGGGAAGTGTCTTCTCCCAACTCGAGCAAACCCATTTGCTCAAGGTATTAGAATAGAACATCATTCAGTGCACTCACCATTGTCTCTGGCCTAGAAGAGACATGACACAGCCCTGCTAACTCACAGTGGATCTACATGCCTATAAGCTTTTCATGACATAGTAGATTCATGACACAATTTAATAAAATCATTCACAATTCAGAAGTGGTACAAACCAAACCCGCACACCATCACAGCATCAGTTCAGGACTCTATAAAAATATAAAGCACCCATACAAAATAAAGTGAAATAAGTAGGCAAAGATACCATTTTTGAAATAGTACAGAATGATTTAAAAGATTTACATTAACTGGTTCCCACTGTGACAATTTACAATCCAATTTTTCAAAAGTGGGCATAATGGTCTTATCTGCAAAAAATGTATGTGCAAAAAAATCCATACTTGTGAATGCAACATGTCTGATTGCATAGGCAAAGGGATAATTGTGTGCACAAATGAGTACTTGCATGTGCAGATAATAGGGGGTGGGGTGACTTCCTGATTAGGTGTCATTCTACACACAAATCCACTATTGGTGCATCTATTCAGAATCATTCAGTATCTTGTGTTGTTTTTCAACACAGATAATGTATACATGTCTTGTTTTAATTGTCAAGTCTTGTGATTGGTCTTAGCAGTCAAAAGCAGCCAATCATGCAGGTTTTAGAGTGAGGGCCCTCACTATGACTTTGCTTTGGATACCAAATGAAAAAAAAAGTCCTTTACAGAAAGGGAGATTTTTTTCCTGCTTGTGATTCTAAACCTTCAGGAACCGACTGCAAGCCGCAGTCTTTCAGGGCACCCCATTGTCTGGCTAGTTCACTTCAGCCAAAAGTACTACTATCTGATAGCGGTTTGTTTAATAGCCTGTATGAAATGTGGTGGTGGTTCTTAGTGTATTTCCAGTGTCTCCAAAAAAATAAATTGGGCACTTTGCGGTTTGGCAAGATATTATGCAAAAGATTGGAGAGAGCTATGTCTTTTAAAATAACCATCCGGTCTTGCCTAAGTAAGCCACCCAAGCATTATGGAAGCTACTTGAGTTGTGTGACAAGAAGTGTTACTGCATGCCATGGATATGTGTACACCTTTGGTAGGTGTAGTGGGGGTTTTGTGTCCACGTTTTAGTTTGGCACCGAGATGCTTTCTCCCCATAGTTATCTTACGCTATGTGGCTTTTTACTGATATCATTTTTTCTGCGAATAACTAGATTTCTGAACTGGGTGAGCTGGAATATATTGAAGACCTGCCTCTCCTCAGAGTGCTCAATCTGTTAAGAAACCCAGTACAGGTAAGAAAAAGGTGAATAGGTACCTGAAAATTTCCTTGCAGTGAATAGTTCATCCTATGTCAAAGTGTTAGAGATATGTATGGACAGAATAGATGCTGGGCATGCCCCTCTAAAAATATGTAAAAGCTTTAGGGCCCTGATTCAATTCCCCATGAAGTTCATGGAAAGGATCCCATTAATTTCAAAGGCAGCTGGATCAAGCCCTGAGTGAACAGCCACCTTTTACAACTGCCTCTCCTTGGAATCTCTGTAGCTCTGTCAGTTCCAGGATATTAGAGAGATAAGGTGTTTGAGGTAATATCTTTTTATTGGACCAAACTCTGTTAGTGAGAGAGACAGGCTTTTGAGCTTACACAGAGCTCTTCTTGTGTAAGCTCGAAAGCTTCTCTCTCACCAACAGAAGCCTCATCCACCTTGTCTGTCCTTGGAATGGGCATCTTCTTTCTTTATGATAGACTTGTTTCTCATTCAAGGGCCCTACAATCTTCCCTGATTAATGAGCTAAAACAGCCCATTTATCAATGACAGAAACCTTTAAAGTGGAGTAAAATCTTATGTACTGACTTTGTACATCATGGATTTATAACTTGTCCTGGATGGTGCTGAAGATTAAAGGTCCTAGCACCCTGCTTTGATGATTTTAGATCCTCTTTGAACTTTGCAGTGTTTTCCAATGTCTGGGGAAGAAATATTAAGGGCTTAACTTCTCCCTCCTGTTTCAAGATAACTCTGTCGATTTCTATGGTGGCTTCCTTGAGAATAGTCTGTTGTTGCATGCAATTAAATGAACGTAAAGAAATGTTTGAAATATACCACCTCTTCCTGACCTTGCAGCATTCTGCAGCATTTCAGAAAAATTCTGGATGGGTGAGGAAGGGGCAACACATATAGAACATTATCTGTGATTATATTATGTTCTGCAAAGTTGCAGAATTGGGTGGGGGGAAGTGGAGCATAGGAACCTATGAAAAGTTGGAGAACCAAGGTCAGGGGGTCAGTCACCATAGCAAATGATGCCCCTAGCCCTTTTATATTACAATAGACAAAGCTCCTGAGAGCAGAATTTTACCCCATTAAAATGCATCTCTCTGTGTGTGCATATTTTTTCCAGTTAATTTACAGGGTTTTCAGTTACTTGTGAAAAATAAACAACAATTATCTTAAAACAGCTTTGAGACGGTCTTTGAATTTCAATGGTTTAACAGGGCCTGACTTTTCTCAGAATTAATATGCTTCAGCAGGTTGTCAAGATGTCAGCTTCCTATTTAATTGTTAATTATTCTTTTTTATTATGTATCAGACTTATTTTTTTTAGTGATTTACATGCATACATAGTGATTATATTTTATACTCTAACTTTAAAGAAAAGTTCCCATAACACTACTTGCAAGATTAGTGGTATTAGCCATGGGTTATTATCTAATTCCCATATGGGTAATTACTTTCTGTCCATCTATGTTCCCTGTACGTTTTCAGTTGGATATGGTATTATTCTTCAGTTCCTGTTCCAAACTGTTATACAATGTTGCTTTAAGCTGGTAAACAGCTCTCTGGTTTCTTTCTAGAGGCGGCTGCATTTCAGTGATGGAGGAAGTGATCGGTTTATGCAACACATTGAGATCTTTTGTGATGAAAGACGTTATACATTATAAGATATTATGTTAAAATGGCCTTCGGGATATTATTTGCTATCTGAATTTAAATATTTAGATATGTAAAAGTGAAAACAACTGAACGCTTTCTTTTATTTCTATCAGGAACAAACAGATTATTGGCTCTTGGTGATTTTCATATTGCTCCGACTAACAGAGTTGGATCACAGGAAGATTAAAGTGGAAGAAAAGGTATATGGCAACTGTTGGAAACACCACATAGTTCTGGAATGGTGCTAAATAATCCTGTTTCCTTCTGGGCAAAGGTGGTAAATGCAAGTTGTTTTCATAAATATTTATGTGGAGATAAAAATTGCTTTATGTGAGGGGGGAAAAAAAATTCCCCACACTCCAGCCAATAGGTATCAGTTCAGTTCAGTTTTGCTTTTAAGACCCTGACATCTGACGATATATCTGTTGTATTGTCAAAAGCAACTCTAGTTTACCAATATATAATTCTTACATAAAGACTGTATTTCTTAATGAAAAAGTAGATTCTAACTGTCAGAGCAGTCCCTAGGTAGTTGTTTAGATTCATTAGTTAATATTTGTAAAGTGCTTTGACGTAATCACGATGTTACTGCTATTATTTTCTTAAGATATCTCATGCTGCAAAGTGAACTGTCTGAAAGCTATAAAATACTAGTAATTCTTTTAGCTGTTTTTATTAGTTAGGATGTGATTTTTAAAAGAGCCTTCTGCAAGAAATAACTGGAGGGACTAGTTGGTAACCCTGGCACTATGTAGAATGTTTCACTTCTAGGGCTCCTTTTATACTTACAGGGGAGCTGTATTTAGAAATACACGGTTCCTGTGTATAAGGGACTAGAATGCATGGGCCAAACCCATATTAGAATCATCAGGATTAAGAACTTGCTAGCCTAGGTTGGAGTGTTGGCCAGAACACTTCCTTTAAAAATGGTCCTTAGCTCGTTCACTCCAGCCTTGTCACCCATATTAGAATTCTTTTCAAATATGATTCCCCAGCAAGTGTAGACAGGGCCCAGAACACTGATTTAAATCTGCCTGGGATGGAGTAGCCAAAAGGGCTACCATCTGATAGTTGTGGTTTGGTGGCCTGTATGAAATGAGTTGGTGGCTCTTAATCTATTTCCTAATGGGCTGCTGTCTACATAAAAAAATATCCACTGATCAGTAACATGATTAGAAGTTTCAGCAGAATGGACCAAGAATATAATGGACTTGGAGACTGACCTCCCCTCTCCCTCCTAGATCAAAGCTGAAGTACCTTTTCAGGACCATTTTGGAGGAAGCTTGCCTTGATGGTACCCCTGCTTTCCCTTTCCTGGGAAATAAATGAATGATTTCTGTCTCTATGACTTTCAATCTGGTATTTTTCACCAGCACTAAGAACAGAAAAAGTAATGAATAATGAAAATATAGACAAAATGATGGTGTACTTTATGAGCTGACCCCCTTCCCTTAGCCTTATCCTTCCAGCCAAGAAAAGTTGGAATAAATTAAGAGAGATGGTGAGTTAGTTTTGGGTGCTTTCCACCTATTTCTTGAGCTGAGTTTAAATTTCCCAAAAAGCTTTATATAGTCACACAATCATAGCTAAGCCAGATATAACGATTGCCCCTTGTAAATATGAAGCCATCATTATTCAGACTACTTTGTTCAGGGTATTGCAGGTAAGAAGAAGGACATCACTTTTCCCTTCCTATACCTCTAACTCTGGAAACAGGTTGCTGCTGTGAACAAGTATGACCCTCCTCCAGAAGTAGTTGCTGCTAAAGATCACATGACCCATATTATGTACAGCATGATTCAGCCACAGAGGATCTTTGACAGGTAATCTTATCTTCAGTTCACATCTGGTCCTGTAGGTGGCACTCAGGTAAAGCAGAATATGTTGTTATATTTAGTGGGACATTTCTCCGTCCCTCTTCCACCTTTAAATCAGCCTCCCAAAGAGTAGGCATTCTGCAGTCTGCTGTTGTCAGTCTGAAAATTAGGCATATCCTGCTTGGTTGAATTGATTATGAAATGAAGTTAGTTGCTCACCTTGAAGCTCTGAGACAGATTGCCCACAGCTCTGTTTCTTTTAAACAATCTGTTGAAGCAGATGGCCATTTGCACCATAAATGAAAGATGCGAAAACTCTATCAATACCCAGTGGCAATTTAAAAATCTCTAGAGGGAGAAGAGAGCTCTAAAATTTATCTTCTTTCTACTCTATTTACTTCTTCCCTTCAAACTGTTGGCATCCCATTGTGAGTGAAATAGCTTTACTTTGCAACTCAGAACACAATTTACACGCCCAGATTTTCAAGCTTGCATTTATGGAATTCTGGCCAGTTCTGCATTTGGAAGGGAAAGGTGTTGACTACTGGTTAAAGCACAGAATTGGGAGTCAGATCTCGGTCCTATTCCCCGCATTGCTGCTGTCTTGCTGTGTGACCTGTCTCTGCTTCATTTTCCATCTCTAAAATGGGACTATTACTCATCTACCTCCCAGGGATGTTGGGCTTAATTCATTAATATTTGTAAAGTGCTTTGAAAAACTCATGAAAGGTGCTGTAGATATGCACAGTATTATTATTAAGGTCAAGATTTAGGCACTCATGATCACTTAAGTTCCCAAAAGCCTACTTAAGCACCAATTTGGGCACCTAAACACATAACTGGGCACTCTGTCGTAGGTCCATACTTTAGTAATCCTGAAATCTACATTTTTAGAAGACGCTCATTGTGATTTCTACAGTTAGAATGGCTTCCTCTCTATGGCCCTGATCCTGAAAGTTGCTGAGCATGGTCTCCATGGCTCTGATTGCTCTCAAGGGGCCCAGCTGCCTACAAAAGGCAGTTAGCATCTTGCAGGATCGGGCTGTAATTGAGTATTTCTTGAATAGCATAATTGCTTTGCCAGAAGGCATCCATGCTTGGCATCCTTCCAACACAGACATAGGCCCAGTTCAGGTATTTCTTTATGGGTGTACGTATGTGAGTTCAGTGCTGGAGATATACATGTCTGTAAACCTCTGTATTCAGTCAGAAGTACTGTATAAACAAACAGGTAAACATATGGTCTGGCACTTAAGGTAGCAACCAATAATGTTAATTAAGCTTTGAGTGCTTGCCAGTGCTCAGCTGGAAAAGCACGCACTGCCCTCATTAGTGAAATCTTCCTTAATGATGATTTTTTCTAATTTTCTAAATTAGAAAATGCTCCTTGTAGCCACATTTGTATAGTTCATTTGCATTAATCTCCTTAGATCACATGCAGGACATTTTTATTTACTGTATTATTAATAATTCCATTAAAAAACTATGTAAAGAACTGCAAAGTTGAATAGTTGTACACTCAACAATCAGGAAATGTCAACATTAACATTAACATTGTGCAATACCCTTTTTGCGTAGGCAATTCAATACTGTCTTTAATCATAGAACATTCTACTATTTAAATAATACAATATAATATGTGATTTTTTTCTACAACTTTAGATACACATGAAGGCTAAGTCCCAGTCTATAAGTACACGGGGAAAAGAAATTTAGTCATAGTGGGCTTTTCAGTCTAGCAAACAAAGGTTTGAGTTCGATATAAAGGCTGGAAGTTGAGACTAGAGAAATTAAGATTAGAAATAAGGCACAATTTTTTTTAACAACAAGGATAATTAACCATCAGAACAACTTAACAAGGGTTTTCCATTACTGGAAATTTTAAAATCAAGATTGGATGTTTTTCCAAAGATATGTTCTGACTCAATCACAGCTATTGGACTTGAAGTCCTATGGTCTGTGTTATACAGGAGATCAGACGAAATGATCACAGTAGTCCCTTTGGACCTTAAAATATGTGAATCTTTGAGAATTGTGTATTACTTTGAATGCCAAAGCCCACAAGTTGCAAAATACACAGTGAATGAGCCAAGGGCACCACACCTTACAAGATACTCCTTACAAGGTTGTGGGGGCAAAATTGTATGATGATGTAATTAAACACTGTATTGTAATGTGTTCTTTTTGTTCTGCTGATAAAATAGTAAATATGGGGACTTTGAGGAGACATGTTCCTGTGGTCTAGCAACAGGAATGTATTTAAAGAAATTAGAGTTCTAAGTAAAAACAACAGGGAGTCTTGTGGCACCTTAAAGACTAACAAATTTATTAGAGCATAAGCTTTCATGGGGTGTGACCCACTTATTCAGATGTATGGAGTGAAAATTACAGTAGGCAGGCATAAATATACAGCACAAGAAAAGATGGGTGTTGCCTTACCAAATGATTCAATCAGGGTGGATGTGTCCTATTCCCAAGAGTTGACAAGAAGTTGTGAATGCCAACAGTGTAAAAATTACTTTTTATAGTGCTAACAATGCCAATTCCATCAGGGTGGATGGCCCATACTCAACAGTTGATGGGAGATTACTTCTTGTAGTGACCCAGCCACTTCCTGTCTTTATTCAGGCCTAATTTGATGGTGTCAAGTTTGCAAATGAATTCCTGCTCTTCAGTTTCTCATTGAAGTCTGTTTTTGAAGTTTTTTTTGTTGAAGAATGGCCACTTTTAAGTCTGAAATTGAGTGTCCAGGGAGCTTAAAATACTCTCCCACTGGTTTTTGAATGTTATAATTCTTGACGTCTGCTTTGTGTCCATTTATTCTTTTGCGTAGAGACTGTCCGGTTTGGCCAATGTACATGGCAGACGGGCATTACTGGCAAATGATGGCATATATGACATTAGTAGACGTGCAAGTGAATGAGTCCCTGATGGTGTGGCTGATGTGGTTAGGTCCTGTGATGGTGTCACTTGAGTAGATATGTGGACAGAGTTGGCAACGGGGTTTGTTGCAGGGGATGGTTCCTGGGTTGGTGTTTCTGTGTGGTGTGTGGTTGCTGGTGAGTATTTGCCTCAGGTTGGGGGGCTGTCTGTAAGCGAGGTCTGGTCTGCCTCCCAAGATTTGTGAGAGCGAGGGATTGTCTTCCAGGATAGGTTGTAGATCCTTGATGATGTTCTGGAGAGGCTTTAGGTGGGGGCTGTAGGTGATGGCCAGTGGCGTTCTATTACTTTTTTTTGTTGGACCTGTCCTGTAGTAGGTGACTTCTGGGTACCCGTCTGGCTCTGTCAATCTGTTTCTTCTCTTCCCCAGGTGGGTATTGTAGTTTTAAGAATGCTTGAAAGAGATCCTGAAGGTGTCTGTCCCTGTCTGAGGGATTGGAGCAAATGTGGTTGTATCTTAGGGCTAGCCTGTAGACGATGGTTTGTGTGGTGTGTTCTGGATGAAAGCTAGCGGCATGTAGGTAAGTATAGCGGTCAGTAGGTTTCCGGTATAGGGTGGTGTTTGTGTCCATCCCTTATTTGCATGGTAGTATCCAGGAAATGGATCTCTTGTGTGGACTGGTTCAGGCTGAGGTTGGTGGTGGGGTGGAAATTGTTGAAGTCGCGGTGGAATTCTTCAAGGGCCTCCTTCCCGTGGGTCCAGATGATGAAGATCTCGTCAATGTAGCGCAAGTAGAGAAGGGGCACTTGGGTACGAGAGATGAGGAAACATTGTTCTAAGTTTGCCATAAAAATGTTGGCGTACTGTGGGGCCATGCAGGTACCCATAGCAGTGCCGCTGACTTGAAGGTATAAATCGTCCCCAAATCTGAAATGATTGTGGCTGAGGACAAAGTCACAAAGTTCTGTCACCAGGTGAGCCGTGACATCACTGGGGATACTGTTCCTGACAATTGGTAGTCCATCTTTGTGTGGACTGTTGGTGTAGAGAGCTTCTACATCCATAGTGGCCAGGATGGTGTTTTCTGAAAGACCACCAATGGATTGTAGTTTCCTGGGGAAGTCAGTGGTGTCTCAAAGATAGCTGGGAGTACTTGTGGTGTAGGGCCCGAGAAGAGAGTCATCAAGTAATTATATATTGTATAGATACACAATATGACACTACTTTATAAAAGAGATGACAATAGAGAGAAATCTGCATTTTACCAGGTTGTATCAGTTACTTGTGTACTAAATGTATTTTTAAGGGATATATTAGAAATATATTGAAGAAACTGATTTTATCGTCACATGCTGGGTTGACATCATTAGTCACATGTGTCATGGCCTTGAGAGGGTAATGAGAACACCTCTACTGTGTGTAAATAAATTCTGAAATCACTAGTTATTAAACATGTTTCATGGAATTCCCATCTTTAAAAGGGTCCCTTTTTAATAATTCACTCACTGACTGTAATAGTTATCGCTGTCACTGGCATCTGTTGGGCTTGTTCTGTGTTGATCTGGTCCCTTCCTGACAGCAAATGGCAGAAAGGGGGAAGGCAACATGAAAACATGGAGTAACAGTGAAGGAAGGGGGAGTTTCTTGACTTGAACTGAATGCATCACAGTAGCAATTTTTTGCTGTAGAAAATACAGGGAGAATATTTTGCATATTGTTATTACATTGACATTTTTAATGTCTCGGTGTATTTTGTAAAGATTATTTTTGTGGCAGTTGTGTAAATATGTCTATAATCAGGATAAAAGCTATGTCCCTAAGGGTGCTGCCCTTTGGGTGCTCATGCGTCCTGCGCCTTTGATCAGAGATTTTTGGTGGCAGTGTCCATTCGGCCCACACATGTGCCCTACACATCCTCATGTCCTGCACTGAGGCTATATAGAGCTGTGTGGGCAAACCATCCTCAGTTCCTTCGCAACCACCTTCAGCCTGAGACTGAGTCTCTAGCATGTCTCCTTCTAGTAATACTTTAGCATAGTTAGTTAGTTATAGTTGTAAATAGTTCATATTTGTAAATGGCTTCCCTTTGCTTTGTTTTCCCCGTTTAGTAGGGTCACTTTGGACT